CCTTGGCTAAAATGAACCTTTTCCCTCAAACCAACAAGCCCAAAGCTTGTAGATTTGTCCCGGAGGTTTTCTGCGGAGATGCTGAGATTTCGAGGATGAAGGAGAAGAAGATGAAGCTGAGCCAGGGCGCGGCGGCCGCCGATTCCGAGGACCTGCCAGGAAGACCCACCTGAAGCCGGAGAGGCTGCGATGCCCTTCCCTCTGCCGAAATGCTCCGGCCTCTTTCGAGGGAGAAGCTGGCTGGCTGGAGCTGGGAGCCGACCTACTTTTAGCCCTTCGCAACCGGCAGAGGGAGAGAGAACGGCGGCTTTGATCCGCTGGTGCGTTTCCCAAACTTGCGCCGAAGGAAAAGCCAAAGAAAGCGAAGCGAAGCAGTGCGAAACAGCCCAGCTCGATTCGGGCCGTAGCGCCGCGTTCCGACGCCGAAGAGGCTTCCGAACCAACCCAGCTGCTTAGCCGTGGGAAGCCCGGACGCTCTGAAACACGGGGGAGGCAGCTTAGCGATCCATCCACTGGTGGCGTTTTGAAGAAGAATGAAGCCACGCTGCTAGGCTAGGCCTCTGCCCCGACCGGCTTGCAGTCTAGGATTTGGGGAAGCGAGCCCCCTGCACGCAAAGGCGGCAGGACCGTTCCCTTGCTTCGCCCCCTCCCTCCCCCGCAAACCTGGCTTCCTTCACGAGGCCTCAAGAAAGTTAAGAACCATTTCCCCACCCCGCTGCAAAAGAGGCGCCGTCTCGATTCTAGTTGCTGCGCGCGTCCAGCCCCGGGGGTCCGCCAAGTCGTTGCGACCGGGTCTTCCCTGCCTCGGGAAATCTGTGCGCCTAAGTGTATCGGTCCCTGCACGCACGCACATGCACACACACTGCAGTTGCTCAAATCCTATCATCGGAGTGAGGTTTCCTAACCTTAAACCAGACCGTTAGCAGAGGACCTGAACAGAGAAACGTCCGCCCTGGTTCTCTTTAGACACCACACTAGAAACGATCCTGCCAGGAACGCGCAACCTTGGCATATACCTCGCCCCCCCC